TGAGACAGGGTCTTCCTCTTCCACATTCATGCTGTAGCCTGGGAGAGTCCTCATACCTCCCCTTACTCATGTCAAAGAGGAAGCCGCTGGATGAGACAGGGTCTTCCTCTTCCACATTCATGCTGTAGCCTGGGAGAGTCCTCATACCTCCCCTTACTCATGTCAAAGAGGAAGCCGCTGGATGAGACAGGGTCTTCCTCTTCCACATTCATGCTGTAGCCTGGGAGAGTCCTCATACCTCCCCTTACTCATGTCAAAGAGGAAGCCGCTGGATGAGACAGGGTCTTCCTCTTCCACATTCATGCTGTAGCCTGGGAGAGTCCTCATACCTCCCCTTACTCATGTCAAAGAGGAAGCCGCTGGATGAGACAGGGTCTTCCTCTTCCACATTCATGCTGTAGCCTGGGAGAGTCCTCATACCTCCCCTTACTCATGTCAAAGAGGGACATTTGTAGGAAGGCGGATCAGACTTGGGTGCTTGGATTGCAGGGGCTGCCTGTATCTGAACCTCATTTGCCTTTCTCTTCCTGTTTCTCATTCTGCACTGCCCTGCAGAGGTGAAGCATGACCCATTCTTTGTGTTCTGCTTGTGGTCGGAGATGGCTGTGGTGTAGATTCCAGGAAGGCAGAGTGTGCAGGTGACAGATCCACTGTGGGGAAGGCAGTGGCAGGCCCATGGCCATAGTGACAGGTGCCATCTGTCTCTCTCTTCTACTGTGGTAGGGAATGCATCTGTTTTCCCCTTTACCATTGAGTGCCTAAAGCAGTGAGCAGCACATAGTGATGCTTGGTAAATATTTGTTGAATGAATGACTATATAAAGTTGGCCGGGCACGGTGCCTCACGCCTGTAATCCCAGCACTTTGGAAGGCTGAGGCTGGTGGATCATGAGGTCAGGAGTTCAAGACCAGCCTAGCCAACATGGTGAAACCCCGTCTCTACCAGTAATACAGAAAAAAAATTAGCTGGACATGGTGGTGCATGCCTATAATTCCTGCTACTCAGGAGGCTGAGGCAGAAGAATTGCTTGAACCGGGACTCAAGAGGCAGAGGTTGCAGTGAGCCGAGATTGAGCCACTGCACTCCAGCACAGGCTACAGAGTGAGACTCCGTCTCCTTCACCAATAAATAAATAAATATGTAAATAAATAAAGTTAAGCTTGGAGAGGCAAATTTTATTAAAATTCAGGAAAATTGATTTAAGCTATATCTGGTCTCACGTTAACACACTATACTATTACTATAAGCTGTACCTGGTGTCATTTTAACACACTACACCAACACTATATATTCATATGCATCATACATATATATGCATATGTATATAGTGCATATATATACATATATACAATCTTTTCCTACTTGCCATATGAATTAAATAATTTTGGTAAGATGACTATCTCTTCTAACAGAAAAAATAATTTTGTGTATTTTTTTTTTTGAGGTGAAGTCTTACTCTGTCTCCCAGACTGGAGTGCAGTGGCATAATCTCTGCTCACTGCACCTCTGCTTTGTGGGTTCAAGCAGTTCTCCTGCCTCAGCCTCCCGAGTAGCTGGGATTACAGGAGCACACCGCCACGCCTGGCTAATTTTTGTATTTTTAGTAGAGATGGGGTTTCGCCATGTTGGTCGGGCTGGTCTCAAACTCCTGACCTCAGGAAATCCGCCCGCCTCTGCCTCCCAAGAAGATTGCTTTTTTCCAAGCCTTTTTTTTGAGACGGAGTTTCGCTCTTGTGACCCAGGCTGGGGTGCAATGGCGCGATCTCGGCTCACCACAACCTCCATCTCCTGGGTTCAGGCAATTCTCCTGCCTCAGCCTCCCGAGTAGCTGGGACTACAGGCACGCGCCACCATGCCCAGCTAATTTTTGTATTTTTAGTAGAGACGGGGTTTCACCATGTTGACCAGGATGGTCTCTGTCTCTTGACCTCGTGATCCACCCGCCTCGGCCTCCCAAAGTGCTGGGATTACAGGTGTGAGCCACCGCGCCAGGGCCCCGAGCTGTTTTTTCTGCTCTGAGGAAAGAGACAGGATTCAGCCGATGCTTCGCACCTTTTCCTGCTTCCCAGCCCCAGTCCTGCCTCTTGTTTTGGATTTCTTGCTGCATCATCTCTGTCCCTCTTTAGGGCTGGAGGTGACCTCCAGGAGCCTTCCCTTCCTCTAACTCTGGCCTCTTTCCTGCCACACTGTAGTTCTCTTCTAGTCCATTCAAAACTTTTTACTGCCATGTGAACAATCCCATTGGGAAACGAAAAATTCAAGAAAAAAATTCCATGCCCCAAAAGCATGGAACACAACAAAAAGAATAGTGTAGAAGACACTTAAATAAGCATTAAAATAACCGAATGAAATTGTTGAGAAACTGGACTAGCCCTTCCCTTCCTTCTTTAAAAAAAAAAAAAAACAAAAAAAAAAAAACTGGACTGTCCCTACGTCTAGCCCTGTCGAATCTCAACATCTTGTTCCACACATTGACTTTGGAATTTTCAAGCCATGTGTTTTGAGGAAATGGGGACACTCCTTTCTCTTTTCCAGTTTCCCAATTTATCTTCCCACTTGTGTCCTGAATCCTGAGGATTTAGATTTCCTAGGGATACGGGCAAAGAGCTGGGTCTAAAATTCACACGGAGGTTGTAGAAGCGGAGAAAGAAGCATTTCTCCTGACAGATTAAGGACAGATACATGGGAAGTAAACCGTTATTCAGCCAGTGGATTCCTGATTATGAAGGGTTCACCACCTGGGATCTCCTATCCTCCTGGGGCTGAACTAGGAGAGTGGAACCAGGGTCATAAAGAGGCATCTGTGAGGGGAGGGGGAGGGAGAGAGAGAAAAAGAGGGAGAGAAAAGGAGAGAGAGAAGGATGTCCCAGATCGCATTTTAAGGGCAACTTGAGAGGAGGCACCTGGAGTACTTGGGAGCCTGGGTCCTGGTGCCAGACACCCTGGATTCAGGTCCTGGCTTTACCATTTCCTGGTTATGATGTTGGGCATGTAACTTGACTTCTCTCTGCCTCAGTTTTCTCATTTGTAAAATAGGGTTAATTTTACCTCATAGGGTTGCGATGAAATGAAAGGAATGTATAATAAAGTGATCAGAAGTAAAAATTCAAGGCTAGGCGGGGTCACTCACACCTGTAATCCCAGCACTTTGGGAGGCCGAGGCGGGTCGATCACGGGGTCAAGAGATTGAGACCATCCTGGTCAACATGGTGAAACCCCATCTCTACTAAAAATACAAAAAAAATTAGCTGGGCATGGTGGTGCGTGCCTGTAATCCCAATTACTCAGGAGGCTGAGGGAGGAGAATTGCCTGAACCCAGGAGGCGGAGGTTGCAGTGAGCCGAGATCGCGCCATTGCACTCCAGCCTGGGTAACAAGAGCGAAACTCCGTCTCAAAAAAAAAAAAAAAAAAATTAAAAATTAGCCAGGTGTGGTGGCGAAGGCCTATAGTCCCAGCTACCCAGGAGGCTGAGGTCGGGGGAGAATGACTTGAGCCTGGGAGGTATCAGTTGCAGCTGAGTCGAGATCATGCCACTGCACTCCAGCCTGGGTAACAGAGTGAGACTCTGTCCCTCTCACCCAAAAAGAAGTAAAAATTGGAGCCATACTAAAAATGAACATGTTAGCTATGAATGCTGTTTTTTTCCGGATTAGCTGCTGTTTATGTGCCATCCAGGACTTTCCTCTTTATAGTAGCCAATTTACAGCTGGTTATGACAGGCAAGATGCCTTCCATCACTTTTCGGAGTTAGTGGGTCTTTACAAATCTTAAGGAGGTGCCGGGCGCGGTGACTCAAGCCTGTAATCCCAGCACTTTGGGAGGCCGAGGAGGGTGGATCACGAGGTCAAGAGATTGAGACCATCCTGGTCAACATGGTGAAACCCCGTCTCTACTAAAAATACAAAAAATTAGCTGGGCACGGTGGCACGTGCCTGTAATCCTAACTACTCAGGAGGCTGAGGCAGGATAATTGCTTGAACCCAGGAGGTGGATGTTGCAGTGAGCCAAGATCGTGCCATTGCACACCAGCCTGGGTAACAAGAGCGAAACTCCATCTCAAAAAAAAAAACCCAAAAAAACAAATCTTAAGGTGGGGGGGGGCAGAATCATTCTAATATGAGACCAGAGAGCCAAGGAAGGGGACCCAGCCACTGGCTCAGAAGGGAATGCTTGGCCTTCTGTAGAAAAATCTACCATCCTGATAACTCCTCTTATCCATGAGAGAATAGGATGCTTACAAATGATAACTGCTGGATCAGGCCCAAAGACAGAGGCTGCTAAATTATGATTAAAGTGTTAACTTCAAGCTTAGATAGTTCCATGTTCACTAATTGCTAAGAAAACAGTAGCAAAAAATATCAGGCACCCTGGCAGGTTATTTGTAATATGTACATATAGGTATTTCAAGAGACAGCGTCTTGCTTTGTTGCCCAGGCTGAGGTGCAGTGATGTGATCATAGCTCACTGATCTTGAACTCCTGGGCGCAAGCGATCTTCCCACCTCAGACTTTTGAGTCGCTGGGACTACAGATGCGTGCCACCATGCCTGGCTAATTTTTTTTATATAAAGATGGAGTCTTGCTATGTTGTCCAGTCTGGTCTCAAATTTCTGAGAACGAATGATCCTCCTGCCTTGGCCTCTCAAAGTGCTGGGATTATAGCCATGAGCCAACATGCCCGGTCCTGTGAATTTTTTTGCAATTAGGCTCCAAAATACCTCTTCAGAGTGTTAGGTTCTCTGGCTTTAAGGTAAATATTAATATAGTTAATTCTGGGGGAAGGGACATATGAGATTTCTTCCTGTTCCTCATCAGGTTTTAGAATTTACTACGGGAGGTAGGGGACAGTTAGTAGCTTTACTTAGTGTAGTAAGTTCAAAGGCAAAACTCTGGCGAAATATGCAAGACTGGTTTCCTCATCCTTTTTTAGTCTTCTGTGTCTAAGGACTGCGTCAGGAGATTCACCACCTTCTCCCCACCCCAACATTGCTTTTCTGCAGGTCCAGAATGTCTGCAATAGCCCCCGATGGTTGCCGCAACAACCTGAACCCCAGGTACTACAGACTCTGTGATAAGGCTGGAGCCTGGGGCATCGTCCTGGAGACAGTGGCTGCAGCCGGGGTTGTGACCTCGGTGGCCTTCATGCTTGCTCTCCTGATCCTCATTGGCAAGGTGCAGGACTCCAACAAGCGAAAGATGCTCCCTACTCAGTTTCTCTTCCTCCTGGGTGTGTTGGGCGTCTTTGGCCTCACCTTCGCCTTCATCATCAGACTGGACGGGAGCACGGGGCCCACACGCTTCTTCCTCTTTGGGATCCTCTTTTCCATCTGCTTCTCCTGCCTCCTAGCCCATGCTCTCAATCTGACCAAGCTCGTCCGTGGGAGGAAGCCCCTGTCCCTGCTGGTGATCCTGGGTCTGGCCGTGGGCTTCAGCCTGGTCCAGGATGTGATCGCTATTGAATACGTGGTCCTGACCATGAATCGGACCAACGTCAATGTCTTTTCTGAGCTTTCCGCTCCTTATCGCAATGAAGACTTTGTCCTCCTGCTCATTTACGTCCTCTTCTTGATGGCGCTGACCTTCCTCACGTCCTCCTTCACCTTCTGTGGTTCCTTCGCCGGCTGGAAGAGACACGGGGCCCACATCTACCTCACCACGCTCCTCTCCGCGGGCATCTGGGTGGCCTGGATCACTCTGCTCCTGCTTCCTGCCTTTGACCGCCAGTGGGATGACACCATCCTCAGCTCTGCCTTGGCTGCCAACGGCTGGGTGTTCCTGTTGGCTTATGTCAGTCCCGAGTTCTGGCTGCTCACAAAGCAACAAAACCCCATGGATTACCCTGTTGATGATGCTTTCTGTAAACCCCAACTCATGAAGAAGAGCTATGGTGTGGAGAACAGAGCCTACTCTCAAGAGGAAATCACTCAAGGTACGGACGCAGCCTGGCTAGGCAGAGAATCCCTTGTAGAACGGTGGGGGAGAATCACAGGATATTATAACTGTAAGGAACGTGCAAGAGTTTCCAGATTATACCCCTGATAGAATAAAGTTCCTGAAGGCTCAGCTCTTGCTTAAAATCATCCAACCTGCCAGAGACAAGTAGAACCAGAAGCAGGCCTCTGGAGTCTTGATCGAGTACTTTGTACACTTGGCGTAGGCAGGGGAGAGCCCTCCTCACCTCCCCCTTCTTGTGATATGATTTCCAGTGGGGCAGAACACCTCAGAGGTTTCTGTGTATCAAAATAAGATGGAGCAAAGAAATGGAAAAGGGAGAACGAGACAAATTCCCAGTAATAAGTAGGTGAGGTTGTGTTTTTTTGCAAAAGAGAACGGGACATTCCTTCCAGAAATATGTAGATTTCAGTGCCTAAATCCAAGCCAATATTTCCTGCACGGATCACAGAGTGGAGAAGGGAGAACGCCCTTTTATCCCAAACCCGCAGGAAATCTGCATCAAAGCAGGAAGGATGCTGGTTTAGTGTCAAGAACCACATTTTCGTGTGTGTGTTTCTGGGCTCATGGGAAGGAACACATCATATTGGACATACAAGAATCAAATGGTTCAGGCCGGGCACGGTGGCTTAGGCCTGTAATCCCAGCACTCTGGGAGGCTGCGGAGGGAGGATTGCTTAAGCCCAGAAGTTTGAGACCAACCTGGGCAAAATAACAACAGCAACAAAAAGAATCAAATGATTTTGCTCTTGTCTGGAGTTGTGAGAAGCCAGGTGTTCTCGTGTTGTTTTCATAAGCAAAAGAGGCTAAACTCATGGCCAGAAAGTGCCCCTGCTCGCAGGGACCTATTCATTGGTCTCCAGGATTTACACTGACCTTTAAGTCTAATCATAGGAGGTGTGTGGTTTGAGGACAGGAATGAGGAACCTCCAGCCTATGTTTTTAGCTCCAGCTAAAAATAGGTCTTTCCTCTGCTCTTAGGCCTGAGGTGTGGAACTTCCTGGTGCTTCTCACCTTAGCTGTGGTCTCTGTCTAGGGCCCTTGGAAGTCTGAAGGGAAGGGAGGGAGGGGGTGCAGGGGATGGAAGGGAGGAGGGGAGGAGGGGGTGGAGGGGATGAGGGGAGGAGGGGGGTGGAGAGGTATACGGGAGGAGAGGAGGAAGGGGTGGAGGGGAGGAGGAGAGGAGGAGGTAGAGGGGAGGAGGGGAGGAGGGGGTGGAGGGGATGAGGGGAGGAGGGGAGGAGGGGGTATTTTACCACCCAGTCCCTCCTGTCCGTTTCTATGGCTTCACGCCATCACCTCACTCCTGGATACTCTATTCTCATTCACTGACGAGTCTTCCTTTCTGCCTTCATTTTATGGGCCACTGTCAGCTTTCTCCCTTAAAACACGTCTCTGGCCTCCGTGCTTTGCTGCTTGCTTTCCTCCCTGGCTCCCCTGATCTATCCCATCTCATAAATCCTTCCTGATCCCTGCCGCAGTTGGAACCAACAAACTCTGAAGCGTCACTCTCAGTCCAGACGAGCCAAGTCCCGGTGCTTTCCTGCCTGTGCCTGAGCTCCAGATGTGTCTGTCCTCTGCCTGGCGTGGCCATCTCCCCCTTCTGCCCTTCTCCAGGGTCAGGCATTCCGCAGCCTCCCCTGGTAATCGCTCCGCCCTGTGCATCTACGGGACTGTGAATTGCTCTTATCGGGGTCTGTCTTATTGCATCGGTATTTATGTCTCCAGCGTCGGCTGCAAGGAGGGATCATTCTGGTTAATGCTTGGGTGTTTCACAATCTCTTACATAAAGATGTTTAAGTGTTTGTTCAGCAACTTGGGCAGGGAAATTCGATGGGAAATAAATGAATTCTTTGAATTGCATTCATGACAATTGCATAGTTTATCCTTCTGTTCCCAAGTCTCTGATTTTCTCCCAATACACAGAAAACAGTTGCTCATCAATCCTGCCTCTTCCCAAAGAAAACGATACAAATATATACATATTTTCCTTGTCAGGCAGTTAAGGAAATAGGTAACTCCCCAGCGAGATTCACTCTAGGTACACCTCTGGCCAGATCTGTATCTGAAAAGACTGGTTTCAGATGTGCTTTTGAAGTGGTCCTCGGATGAGGTGGGGCTCTGGTGAATTTCTGAAAAGTCATCGTAGTTGCTCATTCATTCAACCCACATCGTGTTTGCTTTGTGCCTGGTTCTAGGCTTCAGGACCTAGTCTCTCCCTCCAAGAAACTTAAGGTTTGCTGGAGATACAGGCAATTAAATGGTCAAGGTGTCACACTGTGATACGTGATGCAACGGGGTGAACACAGGTGGGGGCCTCAATGCTTTAATTTTTTCTCTCCCTCTGTTTCAGGTTTTGAAGAGACAGGGGACACACTCTATGCCCCCTATGCCACACATTTTCAGCTGCAGGTAATTGATGTTTTTCTCCTTCTTCATCAATGGCATAATGATGTTACCATTCTGATGATCCCTAGATGGCCACTTGAAGGAATGATGGGTCTTCTTTCCTATAATCAGCCTCATGGGGTTAGGGGGGCAAGAGTGAGTGCTTGGCATGGCGAGACTTGGGGGTGGAGGTGTTGGGAGAAGGGGAAGGGAATGAAGGGTTAGGGGGGCAAGCGTGAGTGCTTGGCATAGCGAGGACTTGGTGGTGGGGTGTTGGGAGAAGGGAATGACATTCCTGCCCAGACTGGAGATCTGTTGAAATGGCTGGAAACTGGAGTGGGTTTCACCATATGGTTTTTCCTTTTCAGAGTCGGCCTCCCCAAAAGGAATTCTCCATCCCCCGGGCCCACACTCGGTCGAGCCCTTACAATGACTATGAAGGAAGGAAAGAGGGCAGCTAACTCTGTCCTGAAGAGTAGGACGAACGCAGTCGGGTGGCAGACCCAGCGGGAGCTCAAAGTGATGTGGGCGAAATCTTGAGTCTTCTGAGAAAACCGTACAAAACGCTACAGGAACAGCTGACCTCCCTCCCAGCCTCAGCCAGGATTTTTCCGTGCTGCGGCTGATGTGGGCTAAGAAGGCTCCAGTTCCTAGCGGCACTCGTTTTTTTGTTTTTTCGGTCTCATCCTTAGGATACTTCTTTAAGTGGGAGTCTCAGGCAACCCTTACTCTTTTTGTTTGGTTTTTGAAACAAGCTCTGGCTCTGTCACGCAGGCTGGAGTGCCGTGGTGCCGTCACAGCCCACTGCAGCCTCGGCCTCCTGTGCTCAAGCAGTCCTCCCATCTCTGCCTCCCAAAGTGCTGGGACTGCAGGCGTGAGCCACAGCTCCCAGCCTAGACCCTTACTCTTGCTGTTACTTTCCATGGACTAAAGGTCTGGTCATCTGAGTGCACACGGGCTCATGCGCCTCTAACTTACAGTGGGTTTTGTGAGGATTGCTTGGCCCAGAGGAGACCTGCACATCTGAGCAAGAACAGCAAAGTCCTGTCTCTCAGCCCACTGGCCTGAGTCTACACTGAAAGCCAACTTGCTGGCACCCCCTACTCCCCAACCCTTTTTGCCTGGGTAGGAGAGGCTAAAGATCACCTAAGTTTACTCACCTCTCTGATGCTGCTTCATGTCGGGCCTCAGCAGCTCCCCAGCACCAATTCACAGGTCAACACTCTCTATTTGCACCGTCCCCAAACTCACTGTCAATTCCCAGACCTAATCTCCCTGTACGCTCTGCCAGGAGTTCTTTCAGACCGCACCAGCACGGGCCCAGCTGCTCCTTGTCAGGAGAATTTGCAGATGAGTCTCACTCTAAACTCTTGGCACGGATTCTTCTCCCAGCTCCTTCACCCCAGCCTCTGTAAACAGATTTACTGTATTCACGGCTGCATTCTGGAACTGGGCATGGTCTCCTAATGGAGGAGTGTTCATTGTGTAATAAGTTATTCACCTGGATATGCAATAAAGATGTGCTGGCCACTCCTTCTTGGGGGCGGCAGCAGTGACCGGCAGTGGGCATTAGATGCTGGGGGAGAGAACTGCTCCAGGGGATTCACTTTGGAGCTGAAATTCAAGGTTCACTTCCTTTGCGTTTGTACTTAACCCCTCTCCATGTGTCTCTCCTTCGGTTGCCTCTAAAACAAGTGTGTTTCCCCTAATTTTTGAGGCTGTCAATGGTGAGAGAGCCAGGATCGTCACGGGGCCTGAGGCTTAACTCCATGAAGGACGAGGAGCGGCAACCTGGGAATGGGGTTTGGCAGCCCAGGAAAGGCAGGGAGGAGACCTCAAAGCCAGTTTCATGTTTCACCCAAGGTCTAGCTATGGGAGAGGACAAATCCACCTCCTCTATTTGACTTAGTTCACAAATGTCTCTCAGCAAAGACGTGATACCTAACCATGATAATTGACTTAATCCAAGAAACAGCTCTGTAGGGCACAGCAATAAGAAATCTCTCTTTGGTTATGGAAAAAAAAAAAAAATCCCTCTGGGTAGAAACTGAATGACATGTAAAAATGTGTAGCTAAGTCAGGGAGTTGCCTCCTAAAAGCCTGACGCTCTGCTTCTCATCAAAAGGAACCACCAGAGTGGGACAGTGCTGAGGGCGGCAGAGGTGAACGGATGATGTGCTGAGTTGGGGATGTTCATGTGCCACAGAGGTTTAGTTGGTAGGCTTTGCACTAAGATTAGCCAAGCTTTTTAACAAAAAGGGGGAAGGACACATAGTGACACAGATCCTTCTGGTCTTTCCCAGGAGGTGTGACCTAATGAGGTTTGTTGTGAGAAAAAAGCAATGTGGTTTCACATGTATTATCTGTCACAGGCGAGGGACTCAAGAAATGCATATTCTTTCCCCCTCTTTTCTTTCTTTCTTTCTTTCTTTCTTTCTTTCTTTCTTTCTTTCTTTCTTTCTTTCTTTCTTCTTTCTTTCTTTCTTTCTTTCTTCTTTCTTCTTTCTTTCTTTCTTTTTCTTTCTTTCTTTTTCTTTGTTTCTTTTTTTGAGATACGGTCTTGCTCTGTTGCCCAGGCTGGAGTGCCATGGCGCGATCTCAGCTCACTGCAACCTCTGCCTCTTGGGTTCAAGTGATTCTCCTGCCTCAGCCTCCTGAGTAGCTGGGATTACAGGCATGTGCCACCGTGTCCAGCTAATTTTTGTATTTTTAATAGAGACGAGGTTTTACCAAGTTAGCCAGGCTAGTCTGGAACGTATGACCTCAAGTGATCTGCCCGTCTTGGCCTCCCAAAGTGCTGGGATTACAGGTGGGAACCACCGTGCCCAGCTTCCCTTCCCTCTTCTTTCCTTCACTGATCTTCATCCTACCACCCAAGCAACAGGGGAGGAGTGAAAGATAAAATCACAGAATTCTCTGTATCGGCTTTCTTTTTTAGCTTTTTTTTTGAGACAGGGTCTAGCTCTGTGGCCCAGGCTGGAGTGCAGTGGTGCAATCACAGCTCCCTGCAGCCTCAATCTCCTGCGCGCGAGTGTCCTCTCACCTTAGTCTCTTGAGTAGCTGGGACCACAGACATGTACCACCACACTCGGCTAATTTTATTTTTTCAGAGATCATGTGTGGTTTAATTGTGGGAGGGCAAGGAACACAGGGTGTCAAGAACAGCAATTTCACCAAATTTGTGTAAAAATGAAACAGGATCTACGCATGGGTCTTCACATGGATAGTCACAGTAAGTTTTAAAATCTGAGCAGTAATTTGAATCACTTCTTAAAAAACAAACACAAAAAATGTATTTTTTGTAGAGATGGGGGTCTTGCTATATTGCCCAGGCTGGTCTTGAACTCAAGAGATTCTCCTGCTTCAGCCTCCCACAAATGCTGGGATTACAGGTGTGAGCTATTGTGCCTGGCCTTTCCTTTTAGGGAAGAGGATCTGTGGGATCTTTTATCCCCATGGCTGCCTTCCTCAATCAACCTCTTCCAAAGTCAGGGGGGATCCAGAAATGGCATCATCTCTGGACCCCTCCCCTTTTTTTTCAACCTCCCTTTTTTTTTTTGAGATGGAGTCTTGCTCTGTTGACCAGGCTGGAGTGCAGTGGTGTGATCTTGGCTTACTGTAACCTCTGCCTCTGGGGTTCAAGTGATTCTTCTGCCTCAGCCTCCCGAGTAGCTAGGAGTACAGGTGTGCGCCACCATGCCCAGCTAATTTTTGTATTTTTAGTAGAGATGCGGTTTTACCATATTGGCCAGGCCGGTCTTGAACCTGACCTTGTAATCCACCAGCCTTGGCCTCCCAAAGTGCTGGGATTACAGGCACGAGCCACCATGCCCAGCCCTGTTCTTTCCCTTCTAAAAAACACAGTGGTCTCTGGAGTCTTATAAGCAGGCCAGCTCTGCACTGAGTGCCTGTTCTTGCCAGGTGGCAGAAGGCTGCTGTCCATTTGAGCAGTATCTGTCACCCCTTCTCCCCCTGCTGTGGCTGTTAACTCATCTTCAGGTCGAACACCTTCTGCACATAAATAAGCTCTTTTTAAACATTATTATTGCCTGGTGCGGTGGCTCATGCCTGTAATCCCAGCACTTTGGGAGGCCGAGGTGGGTGGATCACGAGGTCAGGAGTTTGAGACCAGCCTGGCCAGCATGGTGAAACCCCTTCTCCACTAAAAATACAAAAACTAGCCAGGTGCAATAGTAGGCACCTGTAATTCCACCTACTCGGGAGGCTGACGCAGGAGAATCGCTTGAACCTGGGAGATGGAGGTTGCAGTGAGGCGAGACCACACCATTTCTTTTTTTTTTTTTTTTTTGAGACGAAGTTTCACTCTTGTTACCCAGGCTAGAGTGCAATGGCGCGATCTTGGCTCACCGCAACCTCCGCCTCCTGGGTTCAGGCAATTCTCCTGCCTCAGCCTCCTGAGTAGCTGGGATTACAGGCACGCGCCACGGTGCCCAGCTAATTTTTTGTATTTTTAGTAGAGATGGGGTTTCACCATGTTGACCATGATGGTCTCGATCTCTTGACCTCGTGATCCACCCGCCTTGGCCTCCCAAAGTGCTGGGATTACAGGCTTGAGCCACCGCGCCCAGCCCGACCACACCATTTCACTCCAACCTGGGACAGAGCAAGACTCCCTCTCAAAAACAAACAAACAAACAAATAAAAACCCTATTTTTTTCACTCTTTTCTTTGGAGAGGGTACCAAAGGATAGCTCTTTTGTTAAGTACGGACCTCTCAGGGCCTGGAGGCTTTGGCATCTGAGAATCATACTGGCGAAGAAGATTCCGAAGCTGTTCTTTATGTGTCTCCATCTCCACCTGGGCTGAAATGGAATGTGCAAATGTAGCCCAGCCTGGTCCTTGGGTGTTGCCAGTTGATTGATAGCTGGGAGCCAAAGTGACATCTCCTTTGATCTAAACGGGCGATGATGAAATAAAACGCAACAGTCTTTCTCTCATCTTTCATTGTCAGTTGCGAAATAGACCGTGTCTCTGCCTCTCGTTTTAGGCGGAGTCTGTCCAAGGCGGCCATACCCCATCCTACCACTAGATGGCGGTAACACCTCGGGTATCAACCCTCAGGGCCTCGGAGCCTTGCAAAGGCAGCCGCCTAAAGCCCTTTCCTGTACAGGTCACCGAGCTGAGCTGCCGACACCCAGGAGGCGCGAGGCAAATGCGTCCCATTTTAAGGGGCTTGTATTTATGAAGCTCCCACTGTCTTTAAAGAATTGCTCTCCATCTCCTTTGGCAGAGTTCCTTTGCCCTTTGTCTGATTTTTTTGTGAACCCTTCCAAGGTATTCCCAGTCCATTTGCATGCGATCTGGCATCGTTATGAAGAACGGTCGCACTGCTGTTGTTTTAATGTCGACTAGTAGTTATGTGTTGAGAACAGTGGCTGTTTGTCAGGAAAAGTGTGCCAAAACAAAGAGTATGGCCCGGCCCTGGAAATGCAGCGGCGAAACCCATTTCCCCCGTGCATTCATTCTGAGCTTCCTGCCTTCATTTCTACACCTGTCATTACTGCTGAGAACTGGACTGTGCCCAGGCGACCTTTTCCTTCCTTGCCCTCCTGTGGCTGTCAGGGTCTGCAGATTTGCCACCGTCCTGGCCCCAGTGTGAAACATGGGATTATTTCAGAATTGGAGGTGGCAGCTTCAGAAAAAAATTCTTCTCGGGTGTTGACGGCTGAGATCCAGGAACTGGGAAATCAACCTCCGGTTTGTAGATTGCCCTCTTTGGAAATTCTGTGGCCCAACCTTGTGGCTGTTTTCTGAAATTCCTTCTATCCGGGGCAGACAGTGCTGTGCCTTTCTTGGCTTCAGGATGTTCCAAGGATGCTGGTGGATCTCTGTGTGGGTGCCTGACCCTGATTTCTGCAACCTCCAGCTTTCATTCTTGACTCTTCAAAGTAGAACAGTTCAGTGTCAGCTGGGCGCGGTGGCTCACGCCTGTAATCCCAGCAATTTGGGAGGCTGTGGGTGGATCATGAGGTCACTGGTTCGAGACCAGCCTGACTAACATGGTGAAACCCCATCTCTACTTAAAAATACAGAAATTAGCCGGGTGTGGTGGCGCACACTTGTACTACCAGCTACTTTGGAGCCTGAGGCAGGAGAAGTGCTTGAACCTGGGAGGCGGGGGTTGCAGTGAGCTGAGAGCATGCCATTGCACTCCAGCCTGGGTGACTCTGTCTCAAAAAAAAAAAAAAAAAAAAAAAAAGAACAGTTCAGTGCCAAAAATTTTAGAGTTTGAGAAGTCCACAGAAATCCTCTAGTTGGTGCCTCCACAGCCTTCATTTTACAGAGGAACTCAGGCCTAATGGAATTAATGTAACCAGGAGCAGCGTCTGGTTTGCGTTCTTTCTGCCATTGGTACCTGTGTACTCAATTCGAGACACTTTTCCCAGAGAAGTCTTTGAGTAGAGAATCCTACTCGAATTTCACTCCATATTTTAAGTGTTCCTCTCCTTTTCCTTCGCCTTCCCCGTTGCCTTTTCTTCCCCTGATTTCTTCTCTGGTCATCTCCTCTCCCTTCTGCATGTAAGCCATGGGAAAGGGACGG